GCCTCCTTCAAACCCCTATTGGGGATCGAGTCTGCAAGGTGGGCATGTGCCCCAACTGGGAATTGAACCGTGACCTCCTGGTTCATAGGTCGATATTCAATCTTGAGCCACTCTGGCCGAGCTATACTGTATTTTAATATTTAGTGAAAGCAGGTCCCTAAACTTTATATACAGTGTGTTCTCAAATATGTTTAAAATGCATAGACAAAAAGGTTTGACCAAAATGTCAATGGTTTTCATTGGATGGCTGAATTTAAAAAAAATTTTCTTCATAATTTTTTATATTTTTAAATTAACAATATCTTACTTTTACAATTAGGGGGAAAATTAAAAATAAAATCATTGTAACAATTTCTGTATTTGTGTAAAATGGAAAAGCTACCTATTAGGTTGTGCTACCTGTGTGACAGCTAGGTTGATGTCACATGCTGAAACTGCTTTTGGTCAGTGGAGTAAAGTTTTGGGGTCTTGAGAGTCTGCAGCAGATTAGAGTCTGGTAAATGGAAGATACTGATGAAAGAGTAAAGTGACTGTTATCGCCGTCCTGTGGCATTACTTGTCTGCAGGGCTCAACACAGTTGGCTTCTCATAAAATATATATACTGTCCCCCCACTCTAGGGATGAGGAACTTGCACTGTGAAAACATGCAATGAAATGATGTGCCCTATTATTCTTTCTTCTTTTCTAGATAGAAGCCAATGCTGTGATGTCTTCAGTAAATCCAAACACTTCCGGTAATTAATAAAGTTAATATTAATTTTTTTAGTACTCTTAGACATTCATGAAACTAAAACTAAGAGCAGATATGGAGACTGTAAAGCATTGTGTTTAAGCACATCTTCGTTTTGTTCGGTTTCAAAGAAGTTTTGGTTCTTTTAATTGTGATTATTCATGTATTCATAATAATATGTTTATCGTAGGAAACGTTTAAACCATTGAAAAGTGTAAAAAAAAAAATGTTGCTCATCATTTCAACATCCAGTGGAGGACTTGGGTTTTGTGATGCATGCAGCTCAAGCGGCACTTACTGAAGAGTGGGGGGGAAGATTTAGGGTTTGGGGAGACCAAGAGTTCAATTTTGAGAAGATGCAAGCCATGAGGTCAAGACAGTTGGGCTGTATGAATATGGAATTCGGAGCAAAGCTGTGGGCTGAACAAATAAATTTGGGAGTCATCAGCATGGAGGTTTGGCAGCCATGGGAATGGACGAGACCACCTCGGGAGACACAGGGGCCTGAGACCCCTAGGAGCTAGAGCATCACAAGTCAGGCAGAGGATGAGGAAATGGGAGAGGCTGGAGGGGCAGAGGGGCAGGGGGAAATCAAGAGTGTTTGCTCCAAAGCCAAGAGAGTGGGTATTTCAAGGAAGAGGGTGTGGCCAACCTTATCAGATGCTGTGGGCGAGTCAGGAGCATAAGGACCGAAGAGGATCCCTCTGTGTTGGCAGCCTGGGTGGTGTTTGGTGACTAGGAAGAGCAGTTTAAGTGTGGTGATGGCAGAGGCCAGGCTGGGAAGTGAAAAAGTGTGCGAGGGTGAGAGTGTGAGTAGCTACCGTATTTGCCGGTGTATAAGACGATTTTTTGGCCCTGAAAAATATGCCTCCAAGTGGGGGGTCGTCTTATATGCCAGGTACACTTCAGATAGACTGCCCATAGTGCTTGCCCCGTGCCATAGTGGCCTCCCGATGCCCGCCCAAGGGAGACAAATACTTATTATTGTTTGAGGAGATAGGGTCCAGTGCATGCTGGATTGGCTTTTTAAAAATTACTTTTTTAAAGAAATACAGGCAGTCCTCTGGTTATGTCGGACTTGATGTGTGTTGTTTCGTGGTTACGTCGCCATCTCCCATTTACAGTATTTATATAAAAAAAAGTTCCGTCATTTTGACGTATGTACATATGAACTCTATGTTTTTATTTATTTACCACAAGTAAAGGTCAGGAATTATTTGTCTTTTAAAGTTTTTTTACTGTTTCACTTCATTACTGCTGTGTGTGTGCTCCATGTGAATGACGTAGGTGCTTATGTAGGTGGGTTCCGACTTACGGTGAAAATCGCGTTACGTCGCGCCAGTGCCGTAGGAGCGGGTCTCCGACGTAACCCGAGGACCTGCTGTAATGTAAAGTAGCACAGAGAATAGCTATATACCCTTTATCCAGATTCACTTAATGTTAACATTTTACCCCAGTTGCCTTCTCGTTTGCACTTTCTACCCTCTCTTGTTGCACTGTCCATAACTACACTTAACGTCATCATACATTTATATTGAGACTATATTTTTATCATATTTCTCGTCTGTATTCCATTGTCACTTTATTATTTTTGCCTTTAAAAATTTTTAAAAAATTGATTTCAGAGAGGAAGAGAGAAGGAGAGGGAGAGAGAGATAGAAATATCAAAGATGAGAGAGAATCATTGACCGGCTGCCCCCTGCCCACCCCCTACCGGGGATCAAGCGCACAAACTGGGCATGTGCCGTGACCAGGAATCAAATTGGCAACCTTTGCGTGCACAGGATGATGCTCAACCAATTGCGCCAATAACTTCCTGGTGAAGGCTTCCCTAGAGTTTTTTCCTTGGGTTTCTATGTCAGTATTCTCTCATCTGGTCATTTCCCACTTTTTTTTGCATTGCTACGGTTTTTCTTCTTTAGGAATCCCCTGATAGCCAGCTAGCGATTCTGTCTGTCTGGATGAAAGTCTCCCGCACTCATTGTATGTAGATAGCCTTTCTCCATTTGTGGCTTTTCTGATGCAGCAGGTTTGACTGTTTCTGAAGGCCCTTTCATATCCATGTTCTCACAGATTTTCTTTCTTATGGATAATCTCAGAGTCCGAATTCTTTCCTTCACCACTTCCTTGTTGTATAGAGAGGTGTGATTCTGGAAGAAAGATTTCCCATGTTCTCTAAGGTGTCATGAGTTCTGACGTAGAGGAAAGGTTGACTGCTAGCAGAACTTTTCCCATATTCCGTATCACAAGTCCCTCCCACTCTCCAATATGTATGAACTCACGTTTAGTAAGATACGACTTCATAAGAAGGGTTTTTCACATGTGTTAACATTCATATGGGTCTCTCCTGTGTGAGTAATTTTATAAACAATGAAGAGTCAATTCTGGCAGAAGGTTTTCCCACCTTCTTCCCTGATGTAAAGTGAGGACTGATTTGTGGGAAAAGGATGCTCCAAGTATCCATCGTTAGTCTTCCCCTCTTTCTTTCTTTCTTTCTTTCTTTCTTTCTTTCTTTCTTTCTTTCTTCCTTCCTTCCTTCCTTCCTTCCTTCCTTCCTTCCTTCCTTCCTTCCTTCCTTTCTTTCTGGTGTTTGAGAGATTTGGCTTGTGGCTGAAGATATGTTCATGAAATTTACAAAATATTTTCTCCTTTATGAGTTCTCTAATTATTGAATTTTTACTTCTTGTAGAAATATTTCTCACATTTGTTGCAGGGATAGAGCTTCCGTTTTGCTATGAATTCTGATATTCATGTGGTCTGTCCCATGCCTGGGTTCTCTCCGATATATTGAAGGCTGCTTTACTATGGAATATTTTCTCAGATTCATTATGGCCTAAGGCAGCCGTGGGCAAACTACGGCCCACGGGCTGGATCCGGCCCCTTTGAAATGAATAAAACTAAAAAAAAAAAAAAGACCATACCCTTTTATGTAATGATGTTTACTTTGAATTTATATTAGTTCACACAAACACTCCATCCATGCTTTTGTTCCAGCCCTCCGGTCCAGTTTAAGAACCATTGTGGCCCTCGAGTCAAAAAGTTTGCCCACCCCTGGCCTAAGGATTGCTTCAGAACTGGGATATTTTTTTTTTTATACTGAAAGCAGTCTTCCCTCTGAAGGTTTCCGACTTGGATGATGTACTCTCCCGCTCCCGCCCCTGCCCCCACGTGCATTCACTTGCATTTCATATCCAGGATATTACATCTGCTCTCACACCCGCTTCTCAATCAAATCATTAGGATGCTCCCCTTCACAGCATCTTTTCCTAGTAATTTTAAAATATATTTCAAAAGGTTACAATGTAAATTAGTCATCTGAGAAACTCGGGAAGATCGCGTTAGAGAGATGAGACTAAAATGTAGGTGCGTGATAACTTGCTCCGAAATTACCATGGAGGACTCTCCTTAGTCTACAAGCTGCCAGTCTTCCCCCTTCTTCTTCTGGTCTTGATATCAATGTCCCGTTACCTTTCTCAAAGCACCACTTTCTTCATGATGTAAGGGAATAGACTTGCATGGGGGTGCTAACTCTCTAACTGGCTTCAATTCATGTTCACTGGAAAGGGGAGACTCAGGACCACAAACATCCAAGAGAAAGAGTGAAACAGCCATCCCAGCAGGAAATCACTGCTGGACTCTGGTTACTGCGAACATTTCTTTCTATCAATTTCAGGCCCCCAGCTCCCTCTTTTCTCCCTCTCAATGACGTAAGTCATATTTATGTTCTTTTTCTTGCAGAAATGCAGAAA